ATAGTTAAGAGTATTTTACAGCACATAGAGATAGTATTTGGGGAACGAGGTAACAATGAGGTATTTTGTAGATTCCTGCTCTGGTGTGGTGGGTTGTGCTCCCTGGAGGGGGTCTGGAAAAAGAGATTACTCTGATATTGCAAGGATATGTTATCTTAGATGCAAAAAGTCAACAGACAGGCTCACTTAAGGTCAAGATTGACCTTGTCAAGGAAGCTACAGGCCAAGGATGTGACTACCGGCTACAGCTGGTTTTTAGTTGGGAATTTTTTATGTTCAAACAATCTTATGTGATTATTTTTCAGTCTCCTGAGCTTGTCAGATTTAATATGTGGCCCCTTTTTCATCCACAAGTTGGATGATTGTGCTAATGTCATACTTACTCAATATCAAGATCCACTGCTTAAACTTCCTTATGTCAAGGTAAGAAATGTTCAAGCCTATAGAGAATTTTTATGAGATTCTGTAAATCAAACTGATGATGTAGCCAGGAAGCAAGATCTCCAGTGCTCCCCAGAATGACAATTTGACAGTTTATTTTATACATTTGGAATTAAGAAAGGAACATAAGGAAGATTACATGAAGATGGGAGAAAGCAAGGTACAGGATAGTTGACAAGATTATGTGCTCCCTTGAGGGTGGATATGCCAGCCTCTGAGGGGTCTGAAAACCGAGGCATTTCAAGGGTGTGTTTAACCAGATGGACAGGGCTTGCTTAAAGTGATGATCAACCTTTTATAGGTGTGGGGCATGATTACCTGCCATGACCTCCATAGTTAAGAATTTATGATCGGATGGATCACCCTGTGAGGTTACCTTTGGTCACTGAACTTGTACATAACCCCTTTTTCATCCACATTCATTATATCTCCAATAGCTAGCATCATACTCCGCATAAAATAGGCTTACAGTGTCACTTGCCAAAGATACTGATGATATTCCAGCAAGAACTGTCTGGAAAATCCTCAAAATAGGGAGGAAGGTAATTAACAGTTATGTAGTGGTTCAAAGCATGGGTGGTATGCAGTGGAACCAGTTTTACTACTTCCTATGTGTGTGTGTGTGTGTGTGTGTGTGTGTGTGTGTGTGTGGCCTTGGATTATTCTGAGTTTGTTATTTTCAACTGAGAAAATACACCTATCAGTTAAAGTTGTAGTAGAAGTTAAGACATGCAAAGTACTTAACACCTAATATATGCTTAACAAATAGCAGCTAATATTTCAGACACTGTTAGGCACTGTTGCATATTTACATATCACTTGATTTAGTTAGTCCTCACAATAATCCTGCAAAAAGTTGTTAGTATTGTTATTTGATGGGTGAGGAGAGAAAGAGTCAAGAAGATTAAGTAATTTGCCTGAGGTCACCAGTAATAAGAGACAAAACTAGAATTTGAACCCAGATCTCTCTGGCTTTAAGCTTTCCACTCAACACTATTGTAGAAACTGAATTACAGGGTTAGTTAGGACAGTTACAGAAGCCGGATTTCCAGATTTACACATTTCAATCCCACTCTGTGTCTATTTTTACATGTTGCAGATTCTATTCTCTTATCACTGAACTAACCTCAAGAAACTTATGCTTCTGTGTTGACATTTTTGATAAGACATTGTCTCACTGTTAATTCATAGACAGATAGATATAATTATCATTATAAACCTACCATGTGATGGTAAGAGAATCAAAATCTCTGTAATAGTATCAGAAATGGAGCCTATACATTTTATGGGGAAAGAATCTGCCTGTGGTATGTGTGTGTGTGTAGGGGGGAAAGCGGGGGGAGGGGGACGAGTCTCACTGCACCAACTCTTGTCCTCCAAGATTCCCTGAACCTTGAGTAAGCATTACTTTCAGCTGCCATTGTTGTGGGAGTCTCGGTTCTTTTTGCCAATGCAGTGAAGAATCAAAGATCAGCAAACTGATTAATATGCAAGCAGGGTTTATTAGTGTTATGCAAGCAGGGTTTATTAGTGTCTCAGGAAAGAGAATAGGCCTAAGCTGAGATAGGAGAGGTGGGGAGAGGGAAGAGAACAGGCTTAACTGAGGAGAGAGGGAGAGAGAGAGAGAGAGAGAGAGAGAGAGAGAGAGAGAGAGAGAGAGAGAGAGAGAGAGAGAGAGAGAGAGAGAGAGAGGGAGAGAGGAGAGAGAGAGAGAGAACTCCTAAGATGGGTGGAGGTCTGTTGACTCAGATCTTTATCTTGCTCCAGACTACCTCTCCTCATCTGTTGTTCTAAAAACAGATACTTGGCTGGAGGCAGTTAATCCAAGCTAGTTATGAGCTTTTTCTATAGGCACTATGGACCCCCTCCCACCCCTCCTCCTTCTTCTACATTTTCTATCTTCTACCTAACACCATCGCCACTGTGGTGTTAAGAAATATGGATCCTTTTTTCATACCAGAACTCAAATGAGGACACTACTCTTCCTTGTACTACAGCTGAGACCAGGATACCTGGTTCAGATAAGACTTTACTGAAGATTTAAAAGAGAAATGATGTCAGAAAAAGCATGGCTGACATAGTGGCTCACTTAGGCTAGATCCACCCAGGCTGATGCCATTGGGAGGCAACACCTTGGCATTCTCCACTTGGGATCACATATCACCTTCTTAAAGTCTTGACCCCAAAGGGCAAGAATGCTCCCTTCCTGCCTACCTAGCCTCCTGCTCAGTTCCAGGCCCCCACTCATTCCTCCACAAGCACTCACTGAGCACAGCCTACAGCAGGCACTCTGCACACCCTGGGGACACAGTGGTGGGTAAAGAGCAGCTGCCTTCACAGTATGCACGATCTATAGGGGACAGACAACAGATAAACAAGCCACTGACAGATGGCAATGTGCTGAGAAGGAATAATGAAGTCTCTCTGAGAAGGTTAACATTTACTTAGATCTGAAGGTTGAGAAGGAGCCAGTAAATTGAAAAGCAAAGAGAACATTCCAGGTAAAAGGAACAGTAAGTGCAAAGGTTCTGAGGCAAGAAGAAGAGATAGCAAGAAGGCCACAGTGGCTGTAATGCAGAGAGCAAGGGACAGGGAAGTGTTGCCTGACAGCCAAATTCTATAAACACGTCGTCGTCGTCGTGGTCCCCTCCCCCCCCCCTCCATTTAGCCTCTAATCCCATTAGCTATGAGAGAAAAGCCTCGGTATGACCAGAGGCAGTAATCTCTCTGAGGGAGTGCCTCGGTATGACCAGAGGCCGATAAGACTCCCTCTGAGGAGTGTCTCAAGGTGTATTGGGACCTGTTGGGACGCTAACAGTTAATCTCCTCTGGGAGGACACAGTAACAAGGTGTCCTGGGGCTATGTGGTGGATATGTGAAGGCATAGCATATGCTGGAACATAATGGATATGTTAATAGATAAGACTTTGAGGCACAGACCTCAAACTGGATGTTAATCTGATCAACAGCAGTTTTACTTCTCAATAAAAACCAAGCGTCGACCCGATTCGGTGGCTCAGTCTATCTCTGAAGGCAGAGTCCCTTGGTCTCGCACTTAAATCTTACTTCTGTCTCTTGTTCTTATTCAATCTGCGCCGCCCCTCTCGTGTCCCATTTGCCCTTGCCACGCAGGACGTGACAGGGAAGATGGCAGGAGGTGGAGAAATAGGTCAAATGAACACACAAGGCCTTTTAGGTCTTGCTAATTGTAAAGAGAAGCTTCTGAAGGGTTTGGAGAAGGAGAGTGTCATGGTATGATTTACTATATTTTAGAACTCCCTCTGGCCTCTGAGGTTGAGAGACTGAAGCTGTCTTCCAAACCCAGTATGGTAGTCGTAGCAGTAAAGTAAAAGAAATGAACACGTTTTGACACTTATTTTGGAGGTAGAGCCCACAGACTTGCTGATGGATGGGGAGGGGTGTCTCTTGACCTGTGACTCATGCTGGTAATGGCCATCTCCTTCCTGAGCACTTCTTCCCACCCACCAGGGCTTAGCTCACAGGCCTCAACAGGACAACCATCCAAGTTCACAGACAGTGACTCCCCCTTGCAGAAGACCCACTCAGGAACAAAGGGGAAGAAGAGCTGTTCTTCCCAAGTACAGGAAAGAATGGAGGCATGGCTAGGGGGTGAGCATGCCGGGTATGGAATAGTCAGGAAAGGCACACAGGTTCCTCAGATGAGTAAACTCAGGGAGGGGCCTTCAAGGTGCAGATTTGGCTGAGTGACCCCCCAATGTCCATCAACTGAACATTCAATAACACCGATATTACCTTATACTTGTACAGAGCATCGTATTTTACATAAACATTTGCCTGCCATTGTCCCAGCCCTGAGTGGTTAGGACAGGTATTAATACTCATCTGACAGAGGAGATAACAAAGGACCCACAAGGAGTGGAGACGATATATAGTATCTCTGAAGATGCAGGGTCCCTTATGGTAGAGAGGTAAGAGCACATACGGCTTAGGGAAGGAGATGGGCTACAGGAAATGTACCCCAAGTGAAGGGAAGAAGAGAGAATGACAACTTTTTCAGCATCCACCCCATACCAACTGGCATCATCTTCACCATCCTTAATACTTCTGCCACTTTACACTACAACCAGCTCCCTAGGGCTTGGAGGAGTGATGTGATGATGGGGGTCAGCAGCCCTGATTAGCCATTCTCAGTCCATATTAGCACTTCCCCTCACACATCTATCTCACCTCCAAGGCGAGACCAAGTCTTCCCCTGTTTTTCACCTCCCAGATTTTGTATTTCATATTGTCACCGGAGGGGGGGCCCTTCTCAGCACCATGCCGCGGCTTGGTTTCCACACTGGGGGGTCGAACCTGGGGAGGAAAACTGGGAATCTTAGCCACCACACTGCAGGAAAATGGGCCCTTCTCAGTGTCCAGGTTCTTGGCATCTCGAGCAAAGAATTGAAGGAGACACAGAGGTAAAGTGGTGAAAGAGAAGTTTATTAGAAGAGATAGTACACTCCAAAGAATTGGGAGCTAGGCCCAACACAAAGAAAAGTGGCTCAAGGACGCAGCTCAAAGGCTCAAGGGCAGCATTATTAGGAGAAAAGTACATTCCAAAGCGTTTGTGCCTGTCACTGGACTTTTCCAGACATTTTCTAAAATCGTTTGGCGTGAACCGTGACTCTCCTTTAATGGCATCTTGTTCACTGCAGAGCACCCAGCCGGCGTACCCTTGGCAGGGCGCGCTCCTGCCGGCTGGTTGTCCGAGGGTGGCGGGTGCCCAGTGTTTGCCGCGCTCTGCCCGGACCCGGTGTGCCAGACTGCCTACCTGGGTCGCTGCCCTGGGCTTAGCGAGGCAGCCCACCTGCCTTCCCGACTCAGGTGGGCTTGGGCGCATCGGGGGCGTCTGAGCTGGATCCTTACGGAATAAAAGCGCCCTCCGGCTCTGCTCACCACTGTGGCCTGGGAGTGTCTGGGCGCCCACTCTGAAGATGACCCTGCTCTAATCCACGTGTGTGAATACCGACCACGGGCGCTGCCCTACACCCACCGAGGGCGCCCTTGGCCCCAGTGCCGCTGCCGCTGCTGCTGCTCTGGGTCTGCGTGCGCGCGTGCGTGAGCGCGTGCAGACCGGGCCCGTGAGACCCGCACCCGGGCGCCCCCGCCACTCAGCGCGTGTCCTCTCGGCCGGCAGCCAGCGGCCAGATGAGGCCCAGCGTCCTACCGGGTGGGTGTCTGACCTCACCCCGGAGCCGCGTGCGACCAGAGTCCGAGCCAGCGGTGGCTGGCCGGAAGCTTCCGTAGCGGAACCCCATGATGTCAGCCGGCCCGGAGCGGCGACCGCGTGGCTGTGGGGATGGGGCCAAGAACGCCGCGCCGCCGCCCGTGCGCCCCTCGCCCTCCGACGGTGGTGCAGGTGCCAGTCCGGGCCCCGGTTCGCTCGTCCAGTCGCCCGCCGCCGCCGCCGCGTCCCCCGCGCCCTGGCCCGCGCTGCTGCCCGCGGCCCAGCCTCCCGCGAGCCTGTGGCTGGAGCTCGGACCCGCCTGCATGAGGACGCAGCAATGCCCCAGCGAGTCGAACGGGCAGACAAGCTGTGACCTCGGCACTAGCAGCAGCAGCGGCGGCGGCAGCAGCGCGGGGTTGTCCCCGGGCTCCGACTCGGACAGCAGCGGCGTGGTATGCGGTGGCACGCGCGGCGCCCTGTCGCGCTCCTGGAGCCTGGAGAGCCTGCGCTCGGCCACCACCGGTAAGCCCTTTGCGCTGCCCGCACGCCTTCCACTCCCACGTCTATCCTCTCCTTTCCCTGCGAGACACTGTGTTTCCTCCTTTCCTCACTCGCTTTTTCTATTTCTCGTTTCCATCTTCTGGTTGCTTTGCCCTTCTGATTCCTTTTCTTTTTCCAGTTTTCTTCTGATTTCCCAGCACCACCTCCCATCATCCCCCCACGGGCTACCTGTTCCAGCTGGGACCGTGTTGCTCCACCCTTCATTCCCCCCCCCCCGCCCTCCCCCCCACACACAGTAGTAAATCGCTTGGTCAACTGGGAAACTAAGTGTTTAAGGTGAGGATAGAATTTGGTCCCTTGAGGCACTATGTATTTCTCTTCCCCAAACTGTTCCTGACCAATGGCACGTGCCTGGCTTAATGAGCTGCACCTCAATGACCTCTATGAAAACAGAGGAGATAGGAGAAGGCTCGCTGGCCTAGGGTGGACGAGATTCATTGTGTCTCAGGCTCCAAGCCCAGAGGAGGGCGATGGTTCTGAACCCTCTGAAACAAGCAGTGCAGTTTCCCTGAGATGGGATTACTCTCGTGTCCCCTGGGACCGTGCGTTCCCCTTAGTGCTCCCCTTTCTACCCTAAGGACTGAGTTCTGGGTAGAGATTGAGTGAAAGACTTCCATCCTAAATATTAATGAAGCAAGGAAGACCAGGGTGGTTTTATGAATGGTGACTCTTGATTAGTTTCTAAACTGGATTCTTTATATCTTACTTCTTACAAACACTCAACAAGTTATTTTTTAGCGCTGCAGTGTAAGCCGTAGAGAAAGACAGGCGCTGCCTGGAAATCCGGGAGCTAATGCACCCATTATGCTTATGAGGGATGGGGGATGCGACCTGTGAAAGCTTCAGAGCCCTACGTAGGCACTGGAGGGGATGCTCTGCAAGTGCCTGAGTCAGAACAGCGACGCCAGGGGGTTGGAGAGGGCCATGCAGAGAGCAAGTTTGCCATGCCTGACCAAAGCTTCAGGCCTGGATTGGTGTGATTTAATGGGATCCGGGTGCTACCAGGAAATGATGTTGTACCTCAATTCTTGACTTTTTGAAGGAGAGACTTAAGTCAAGAGACAGAATTTTGTGCAGCATGAACAGGAGAAGTTTATTAGTAAAAGAAATTGCACTCCCAGACGTGGGGCGTGCTGACCCAAGGGAGGGAAGCAACCTCGCCATACATTGTGTGGCTTTTATTTCTATGGGTAGAATGGCCTCCCCGCTCCCTTCTCTTATCTCTCTCCTCCCCTGAGGTGCCCAGTCTTCCCTTCCCTGGCATTTAACAATGCATTTCTTTGACTTAGGGGCATACGTAAACACATCCACTTGGTTTGAGGGGATGAGTAAACACATCCCTTAGTGGGGTGTGTAAACCTGGAATCCTGTTGGGCTAGTAAGGTATTGGTGGTCCTGACAAACAGGATGTGCCCCCCCTTCTCTGACTTCTAACAACATATCCCTTTGATTTAGAGGTATGTGTAAGCTTGGAGTCCTGCTGGGCAGCTGCCCAGGGTTCTTAACCCAAGTAGGAGCTGCAGCAAGGGGCTTTCTAACGGGGCTAAATTTCTCTTTCTCCTGCTCATTTCTATCTTCTACCTACTCTATAGTTTTCTGGGGTTTGGAGTGGAGGCTATGCCAGGCCCAGCAAGAAAAGGTAGTGTGCTGGGGGTTTCACACACTGAGGTAATGCCTTGGCTACTAGCATGCTCGCTGTTGTGTTTACTCAACAGTCACTGCTTTTTTACTGCATCCCAGCTACCCCATTTTCAAAATGAGGACATTCAAATCAAACATCTGACCTCTTTTAAGTCAACTCTAAAATTTCATGATTTTAGTCAGAGCTACAGATTTGGGGTGGGTATCCCTCAGAAAGTTGGCATTTATTGCATATTGTATTTCTGTTTGAGTGGTCTGTGGCTCTAAGACAAAGCACAAGTTGTCAACAAGAACCAGAAAGGCTGGTACTGGAGGGTGGAATTGCATCTTACCCGCAGGGCAGAGCGTTAGCCAGGCAGCCCAGCAGAGGACTGCAGACTTTCCTTGTTTCCAAAAGATTTCATGATTTCAAATATCCAATCATGGCATTTTCTATTGAAATGTTACTTATTCTGGTATAGAGAAGGCTTTCCTTAAAGACAGATTCTGAAAATAAAATGTAGTTGACAGGATGAAATTTCCATGGCCTTTTTTCTGCCCCAATGTGCTCATTTCCCCTGAAGTGCCTCTAGCCTCCAAAGCCCTCAGCTATGCTATCACACTACTGTTATTTGGCTAAGGCTTTTAAAATTTCTATTCTGGATGTGTGGTCTGACAGGCTTAATTCTCAATTCAGGCTTCTGGGGTTGACAGCTTTTACTTACCTGTGCCTTTGCATGGTCAGCATCATGATTTCTTCTTGGAAGAAAACCCAAGCTACATCCACATCCTTCTGCAAGCCCCAGAGACACCTTTTATTTATTTATTTATTTTGATTCAGCTGAGAATTACTTATGAGAAAGCTATGCCTCTCTTGCAATCAGACACTTATTTAATACATCATGTTCCAGGCTCAGCACTAGGCTCTAGAAATGGTAGACAAGTCATGCAAGGTTATTGCCCTTAAAGAAATCACAGCACAGAGGCAGGAAGTGATGATTCTCTAGGAAATACAGAGCTCAGAAAAGCTGTTCCAGTTTATTACAATGAAAGGATTCATTAAAATCAACCAAGGCAAGGAGCATGGGGCAGAGTCCAGGGAAAACCGGCATGAGCTTCCAGGTACCCTGTCCCTTGGAATCCCATGGACCATGCTTAATTCTTCCAGCAACAATGTGACAATATGTAGGAAGTACTGCCAACTAGCAACATTCACCCAAGCCTCGAGGCCCAGGGCTTTTACTGAAAGTCAGTTACTTAGGCATGAGAGTCCATAAGACTGACCTTCGTTACTTGGTCTCCAGCCCCTCCAGAGGTCATACTAATGCAGTGTAGCTCAAGGTCCCACCATAAATCACATTGTGAGCATGAATGACCTGGCCTGGCCCAAGGCCCCAGGTAGACACTCTTATGGGGCAGGATAGTTTAAGGACTTAGCAGCAAACCCCTAGGAAACAGTGGAGGACCAGTCCTTTCTTTAGAATGTGCAAGGCTTGAGCATCCACAGGCCTTTACTGCACAGATAGGAAGCTCAGAAAAGAGGCATTAGACCCAACCTGTTTGGGGGCAGGGACAGGGAACAAGTGATTCAGAGGAACCCTTTTGGAAGAGGTGTTGCCTGAGCCTTACTGCCTGCAAGTTAACTGCTGAGGAACAGAAAGAGCTTTCAGGACAGACAGTTAACGTAAAGAAATGCAGAAAGATGTATGAAGGAATGGAGCCTGTGTTTACTAAGCACCTAGGCCAGGTACTTTGTCACATGCTTTGAATATGAGGAATTGCAAACAGTATGGAATGAGAAGCTTAGCAAGAAATGAGACTAGACACAGGAAGATCAGGCCGTGGCTAAGAAATATGGACTAACAATTCTAGGAGCCATGAAAAGGTTTTAAGCAAAAGGTTGATATAGCCAAATTGCTTGCATGCTTCCTTTCCTGCTTATATTTATTTTTAAAGTTATACACAGTAAAAGTTACTCTCTTTGGTGTATAGTTCCAAAAGTTTTGACAAATTTATACAGTCATGTTACCACTGCCATAATTGAAATATAGAAGAGTTTCATCACTCCAAAAAATTAATGTTGCCCCTTTGTAGTCAACTCTGCCCCACACCAACAGTTCCTGACTAGTCTGTTCTCCATTCCTATGGATTTGCCTGTTCCAAAATGTCATGTAAATGGGGTCATACCATAGTGCTGTTGTGTCTGGCTTCTTTCACCTAGCATAATGCATTTGAGGTTCATTTATGTTTTTGCACGTATCAGTAGTTGTTTTTCCTTTTATAATAATTGCTGAATAGTATTCCATTGAATGGATATACCAGTTTATTTATTAGTTCACTAACTGAAGGACATTTGGGTTGTTCCCAGTTTTTGTCTATTACAAATAAAGTTTCTATGAACATTGTGAGTCCTGGTAAGGACATAAGTTTTCATTTCTCTGGGGTAAATACCTACGAGTGAATTGTTGGGTCACTTGGTATGTGTATGTTTAACTTTCTGAGGAACTACTAAACTATTCTTCAAAGTAGCTATACAATTTTGCATCCTCGTCATCAAAGTATGACAGTTCCCGTTGCTGTGTATACTTGTCGGCACTTAGTATTGTCATTTGTTTAAGGCATTGTGTTAGTTGTGTAATGTTTCATTTGGGTTTTGCATTTCCCTAATGACTGCTGTTGGACATTTTTCATATTCTTATTTGCCATATGTATGTATGTCTTCTTTGGTGAAGTGCCAACTTTTGCCCAGTTTTTATTGGGTTGTTTCTTATTGGGTTTTGAGAGTTCTTTATATATTCTGAATATAAGTAGTTTGTGAGATATATGATTTGAAATATTTTTTAGTCTGTGGCTTGTATTTTAATTCTGTAATAGTGTCTTTTGCAGAGCAAAGAGTTTCTAATTTCAGTGAAATTCAATTTGTAATTTTTCTTTTATGGATCATACTTTTAGTATTGTATCCAGAAACTCTTTACTGAACCTGAGGACACAAAAAGTTTCTCCTGTGTTTTCTTGTAGAAAGTCTTATAGTTTTCACTTTATACTTAGATCTTTGATCCATTTTGTGATTTGAGATGAGGTCAAGGTTCATTTTTTTGCATATGCACATTCAGTTGTTGCAGCACTATTTGTTAAAAAGATCATCCTTTCTCCATTTAATTGCCTGTGTACCTTTGTCAAAAATCAACTTTCTGTATTTGTGTGGCTCAATTTCTGTACTCTCTGTCCTGTTCCACTGATCTAAGGATCTATCCTTTTGCCCATACCACAGCGTCTTGATTACAGTAGCTTTATAGTATGTCTTGGAATCAGTTATATGAATCCTCTAATTTTGTTCTTTT